CCCTGCACGTCACACAGCAGACACTGTTTGGGCTGAAACAAACAAAACACATCCCACAAAGTTTCTCCCCTTTTTAGTATTCAGCTTCATTTAAACGTTGCATGGCCCTAAAACCTTTTTAAGCTGCTTACTTTTAAAGTATAAACATGTCAGTGTTTAGCCACGGAGGGTACTTTTCTGTCCTAAATCATCATCCATTTATCAAAGACTGATCTACATTACTAAATGCTGTAAAAACACATTATAAATACATTGCAATAATCCCCATGTAATAGCCACTGGCTTCCAGCACTGAAAATACTGATATTTATATAAACATTACACAATCAATGCCACACACTTTCCAGGCTGGGCTGCACTCAGTGTGGTAATCTTCTCTCATAATTGCTCAATAAGTAGTAAAGCAAAAACAGCTTCCTTTAGCAGATAGCCTTATTCCTATCTCTTATAAAATGGCACTATTACAAAACAATCCAACAAATAATCTAATTAATTAATCCAGAAAAAGAGATGCATTTTTAATCATCATTATTTATAACTTTGCAAACATGCCCAGTGTTACAGAAAAGGGCAACATATCCCAAGTGAGCTGCAGCCAGGACTTGCACAACACTCCCATAAAAACAAATCAAAATAGGGAAATAAAATCCTGATTTTTATTTTGTGGTTCCATAAAAAAATAACTTCAATAAGTCCAACTGGTGAGAGAATTCTCCTTAATGATACTTCTAGTTTACATCTAATTTCAATAATTCTTCAACTGCTAAACTATATTTAAAGTATCGTTGAAAACATTTATTAAGGGGTTGAGATGGTTAGTAATGACAACTCCAAAGACAACTTCATGCTGGGGAAACTGGAAGCTGTTTAATCCAGTTGGGCTCTCATATCATCAGTAGGATTGTGGCTGGTATCAGCTAACAACCATTATGCCTCTGAGGGAGGGAAATGGTGTGGCTCCCTTTTCAAACAGGCACAGGAGCTGAGATTAGTTACCAGATGTGAATTACAGATGGAAACTGGTATTTAACAGGCAGTGTGCTGCTTTCCCCTCCTGTCCTCATTCCTCAGCTCTCACACACCAGACATTGCAAAACCTGTGAGCCATGGGGAGACACGGCTGATGGGATCTGTGTAACACCACCTGCAGTCCATGGCCAGCTCACACACTGGCTGTGATTCCCCACAGCCACCACATTCCAGGGACACCTCTAAGAGAAGAACTCTTTCTAAGCTTTCTAAGCCCACAGATGTATTGACAAAGGATCTGCTCACAGAGCAAACGGACTGTGAGGAATCACATCCCTGTGGAATTCAAAGCTCCAGGAAGCTGGGTGGAAGATTCACAAGGCTCTTCTCCCAAACCAGGACTGCTCTCATACCTCCTCACCATCCAGCAAACCTCCTGTTGTCAGGGGACAGACTTTGCTGTTTTGCTGCTTCATGGAAAAGAGAAAAACCTGTGAGAGCATTGAAAAAAATACTCCTGGGTAATGAGGCAGGATGCTCCAGTTTTCTGGCTGGGTTTTTGTTCTGTCAAGTATTAAGAGAAATAGGTGTCATGTTTTCCATATCGGAATTTGCACAGCGTTTGTTCTCATGCTAAATGCTGCTCTGGCCTGCAGTGCAAAGATCTCCTGGTAATATTTACACAGCCATGGCATCAGAGGAATAGTGCATTTAAAAGGATTGCAGATACCATACTAAAAAAGACATACAGATTGGGACATTTAAGAACACACAATTTTTTTTCACTAATTCGAAGTTTTAGACATTACTGAAGAGATTTCCCTTAATGACTACCCTGCAAACATCTGGGATATTCATTTAGAGCTGTCCCTAAGGAAATACCCTCTCTGTGGTCTGAGAGCCTTAACACCATGGAGTTTAGGAGTCACATGCTTTTCATAACACAGATTAATGTCACAATTCAATAAATACTGCAGTAGTGCATTGTGGTGCTTTATTAGTGTTAGACATGCAATATTTATTTAATGAACAGAAATTAAAATATTAAGATAACATTTTCATCAAATTAAAGGATCTGAAGTTGCAATAATGGAACAAAAATAAAGTTTTTCATGCATTCTAAGCTTATAGTTCTCACAAGTGCATATAGTTATGATTCTGTACCATTATTAAATGTAGACAAACTACCATTGATTGCACAAGACAAAATAAACCCCTTAAGTTTTATAAGTAGTGATCCTATCTTTTACAGACTTCCTAAATAACCTGGATCTTCAGCTTTTTATAATACACTGTAATACATCTGGAAGCTTCTAAGATGAATAGGAATGGCTTGACCACTTGTAACATACAGTGGTTTCCTCAATGCAGAAATTATGAAAGATAAAGCAAATGCCCACCATGCTTTAGGAGACTGTGACCTTTTCAACAGAAACAAATCTCAAACCCCTTCATAAACAGATTAAAGTGCTACCTATTGCATATTAAACACTTCCAGTGACTGTATTGAAATTTTTAAGTAACAAATCCCTGAAAATAGGGTTACCTACTGAAAGTGCTGACAGACCCTTAAATCTAGCATCATGAACACAGCAGAGCTATAATCCTTCAGCAAGTACTTCAAAGAAGGGGAAGTTAGTCAACATGCTCTAAATTCACCTTTGTGAAAGCCCAGCTAACGCCTCTATCATAGCTACAACAGCAATGGTACAAAGAGCAGAAAAGCATCAGCTCACTTTACATACTTGATGGAGGACAATAATCTTTCTTTAAAGCTGGAAGCACAAATAAACCCCCAGTGCAGCAGTAAACACATTAAGACAGCAGTTCTGTTTGTTTTAAGATGCATCCAAGAAAGGGCATCCTGTACAGAAAGAAATGCAGGCTAGTACCTAATGAGCACGATTTTCAAAAGGTCCCTAAATCATGAAACCTTTCTAAATACAAGGCAGCATTTCCACAGCTGGAAAATTACAAATAGTTCTTGACACAGAGCCAACAGCAATAAATGCAGTTATAATGTAGGGAGAATGCTACATTCATCAGGAGGTGGAAAACCAAGCTAAACTTAAAATACAGCAGCAAGAGGTAACATACATAAATATTAAACATCCTTCATGAATGGCAGAAAGTTTACATTTCTGCCTTACAACATTAAAGTATGGCCTTCATATTTGTCCTTTTAAGTAAGCAAAATGCATGGCAGAGCTGTTTCAAAGGATAATTTCAAAATATAATGCATGTATGGATGAACTCTTATCCTAATTTAGGAGAGAAAATATCAAAATAATATTGAGAATTTCAGAATTTTCGTCCCTATATTTTAAAGGGCAAGAAAGACTGACCACAAGTGGCAAGTTTTTATGGGTTTAAAATGATCTGCAAGAAAGTCTACAATTTTATCCTATAGGAAATACAGAACTTCCTTTGTTTTCAACATACAAATTACTCTGTATGAGAAGTTTTCATTTGAAAGCTGCATGGTTCAAAAAATACATGTGGGGTAAAGATGCATTTCAAAAATAATCTCAGAATATAGGAAAATGTTAACATTGTCTTTCAAAGCAGAAAATGATGTGTATGTAATCTTTCAAGGATTGTTCCAAAAGTAGCCTGTATTTTTACCTGTAAACTCTATAAAAATATCTTCATAATTGTTAATGTCCCATCCTGCCTCTCTGTAACTCTACCTTTTCCTAAATTGCATTTGTTGTTCTCCCCTCTTTCTTGACTAATTGTTAGAAACAAAAGGTGCTTTTATTCACTCAGAGATCAGATAAAGACTAGATAGCACATTCAAAGCTTCACTAAATTTCTTCACTAATGCACAAAAATTGATCTTTTCGCTACCTTTAATCTGCTTATCGTTCTTGGTATGCAAATATGTCAAATGATCTGCTTTTAGTCAATTATGCAGTTTGATATTCTACATTTACATTCTAAAAGAAGTGATTTCAGAGGTGCTAAATATAGTAGAGTTTTATTTTAATAATTATAAGCTGGCTTGCATGTGAGAGAAGTCACTGGAGCACATTCTCTGGTTAGTGCAGTTGTTAATCCTCACTGGTGTGGATGATTTAAGCACTGTGGATACTAGAGATGGTCTCATACCACATAGCTGAAAATGAGTGTGGAATTCAAAACTATTGCAGAACATTTCCCCATCAACACCATGAGAAAACCACTGGCTTTGGCCAAGCATTTGAAAATGTTTAAGAACTTTTATGGAAATACTGAGTAACTGAAATACATCTCGGTGTAATTAGAAAATTAAAACCTAATTGAGTGTAAACCCCAACTTCTATCAGCAAACATACCATGAACTAGTACACGACCTTTGGCACTTTGAATATATTACAACAAATTTACAGTCATTGAGATCTGAAGTGGGTCAAAAGAACATTCACGTGGTTTCTGAGGTACCAAACTTGATGCATCCTCAGGCTGACAAAAGGGAGACTGCCTGGTGTGGGATGGATTTCTGCACTACAAAATGCAAATGCAGAGCTCTACAGCTGGGCAGGGCTGGCACCTCTCAGGATCCATCCAGGCACAGGGATCCACACAAAGGGATCCCACAGGTGGGTTGGGAACTCTGGCTGCACACAGTTTTGGGGACAGCACTAAATGGGGATTGGGAGGTAGTTGCTAAATAAAAGAAGAAAGTAAAGGAGAAAAAGCCAAAAATAAATAAATGAAATGTGGCAATATTTGTACAAATGAGTTTTTTTGTAACTAGAATACTTCTGTGCTGTCCTACAATACTAATGGCATCAAAAGCAGTCAGACAGAACTTTCTCAACCCTTCCACATATAAGTATTCAAAATATTACCAATTTCTGCAGTTTTAAAAATGAAAATGTATTAAAATATTTTACAACAACAACAACAAAAAACTGGAATTTAATTTCAAGCTTTTTTGGTCACCTCAGCAGCAGCCAAGCCATGGTGCTGTAAAAAAACCCAAGAGATCAGGTGCAGAAAGAGAGGAAAAGACAATTATCGTAAATCGAAATCTAAAATATTCTCTGTACATGTTTCAAATAACATTTTACTGTTTCACAGCAACAGAAAATCCAAGTAAGACTCTTATTAAGGAAATTAAAGTTAAAATCTATTCATCTTAATAATTTGAGGGTTCTCCTGCAGTATTTCCCCCTTATACCTTCATCGCTATTTTTTCCAATTCATTGAATAACAGATACCTTTTTCATATATCATTTTACAAACAGTTATTAAATTATCAGGAAGATATTTACTACATTCTTCTTTCATTTGCCTCAATGAGAACTGACTTTTGGAACTATTTACATGGAATACAGACATTTTTAATGAAAAGCCTAAGTACTCTATATGTGTTTAAGCAACATGGCCTATTTCTAAAGGCATATACTTTCATTGTCATAAGATTTAAAAAGTTAAGACATATATATCATGTAAAACTCAACCTTAAATTGATTTATCGTGTCTATTTAAGTCAGCCTCTCCATTTCTGCTACATTTTCATGGCAGTAGACTTTGACTGAACGGAAGCATTCATTTCTTTCTTCCACACTTGAGTTCTCCAGTTGTACCTCTGACTCTGTGAACACTGTTCAAAGTACTTTTAACACATTAAAAGGCATGCAGTAACTTCATACAAAAAAACCCTCAGAACAACTTTATGTCATGAGCTCACTACCAAAGTTCACTCATTATACACAAAATTCAGCATTTAAGTGTAAAATAACTGGTTCCAGCATGTGCCATGACAGAAATGGCACGGGGTTTTTTTTTTACATTGTTATATAAAAAGCACATTGTATAGAATACAGCATTTACTCTGCAAGGATTGTGCATCACTGTTTTCCTCTAATATGTGCAGGACTACATTCCATTGCCACAAACCACACTTAGGTTTAGTAGAGTACTACACTGGATTGAAAACAGTGGTCTTGATGGCATGCTGCAAAAAAAGAATCAATATATTTGCCTAATACCAATAATCATTCAAGAAAACATTCATAACAGCACAGGCTTCTCTGTTGAAACTGCCACATGGTGAACACTAAGCTATTATATAAACTGCGTGGACATATTTATTATGTATCATTAACTCTATTTTAAGTATTCTGTACCTAAATGTATTTTCAAAAAGAAAAAAAGAAGTTACTTAAGTAATCTAACATAAAACAACTTTTGGCAGCCCCTGCTAGTGTTTGGACTAAAAAAAAAAAGGAAAAAAACCCACACCATTGTCCCTCCTCCCCATTTTGCTGGAATTTCTTAGGAGAAAAGGAATGAAGAGAAGACAAAACATTAAAATGTGATCTCCTTCCACTAATGTATTCAGCAGAAAGCAGCACTATCTCAGCTTTTGGAAAATTTGCCAGCTTTGCGAGAAGGTTCATATGGCACTCTGAGAATACTGGGGGTTTCCTCCATCACCCGGACCAGCAGATTGTCAATGTAATCCTCCAGCTCACGGATGTGGGTGTCCTTCTTCTTGAGCTGCTCCTTGTGTTTCACCAGCTCCTGCAGAACCTCCTCATAAGTGAGGTTTCGGTATCCTGCAGTGGCATCGAAAGGATTTCCTTCCTGCAGGTAAGTGGAAAAACACCAGATTTTGTTAAGAAGTTCAGTGTCTCCAGAAAATTAACTGGTTATTGCTTTTTGTGTTTCTCATGTGCATCTCTTGACATGAAAAGCAATTTCTTTCAGCAACACCTCTGTTTGCTGCAGTGCTTTTCCCTCCAGCACCCCCACTGGAGCAGACAACTGGAGATGGGCTGCCCATGAAAATTTCCCACTCTGTCATCTCAGGAAAAAAATCTTCTCAGTGAGGTGGACACACAGCCAGTGTGTCAGATTTAGTGACCATATGAGCAGTGACACAACAACAGCTGTCAGGTCCATTTTGGGAAACCAACCCCCTTAATTATGGAATAACAAGAGAAGAGCCCTGAGAATTCAACTCCTACTGTAACTTCTCTGAGTATTTTCCTCTGGAGAGCATCACAGCAAAGCATTTATTCAGCTCTAAATGACATCAGCCCTCATCTGTCTTTCACATTCATATTTGTAGTCACCAGTTGTTCTCCAGGCCTTGGCTTCTGAATCACATAATAAAACTTTCAATTTTAAATTGCAGGTGAAGGCAAAAGGTTACATCTTACTTGCACCAGAGCACTTAAGGCAGACATAAATGTGTACTTATAAAAGACCTTGCTTGCTTTAAAGCAGGAGAGGCCCAGAATTAAGCAGTAGGGAAAACAGAATTGTTTCTGCAATGATTTCTGATGACTCAGTACGTGAAGGTATTAGCAGAGATGGACAAATTAGTCATCTTAAAAAGGACAACATGTAATCCTAAAGACTGTAAACCTGAATGTCCTCTTTTGTGCTGGTTTATAGAAGTACTAGCACTGTTAGACATGTGGAGCAGTTTGCTTCATCTCATTCAGAAATGAAAACATTTAGAAGATATGAAGCCTACAAAATCCTGCACTTCTAACAGGGCACACGAGATAGCCTTTGTTTACAGTAGAAGCATGTCATTAAAAATTATAAAGCTTGCACAACTAAGAAGCACAGCACATAATAGTCATACTCGTTCCTTTTCCATGCCCCATTCTTTGCTTCCCATACAGCTCCATATTTGCACATTGGCACATGTCGACCCATTAAAATATGCAGCTGGCCAAAGTTTTCAAAGGAACCTAATTAAAAGTGATGGTGCCCTGCAAATAGGCTGAAGTGTGACAGATCAGCTCTCTCCATCAATTATACTCTAACAGTAGCTCTCAAAAATATGTGATTTTAAGGGTTTCTCTCTGCACTTGAGACATTTAGTGTCACATTTATGGATGTATAGTCAGTATTTTAAACGTACCAAGTTAAGGGATTGTAAGTAATCAGTAACTGCCACTTTATTAAAATGGCTAACCCAATGAAATTTATAAATTGGTTAGCAATCCATTTTCAACAAGTAGAGAAGAAAAAGTAACTTCACTTTGTGGTCATATTCTTAGCACATTTTCTTCTACAAGAAGGAAGTAAAACTTTCTCTTTATTAGATTTTATACTCTTTACTAAATTTTCGTAGACACTGGAGAAAATGCCATTAAACACTTACATGCCTGAAATATAGGGTTTGCCTAATTTTCTGATTTGGCAAAGGAACAGGAATTAAGGTGCAATGATGACTTTAATTATGCAATCAAGTTTACTGGAAAATTATGTGCAATATATATGCTTTGAAGACATTTTATCATGCACATGCTCCATACACATCTTAATTATGCAAGAAAATTCCAGTAGAAGTATGCTATCATTTAGAAATTAATATTGTTAAAATTAAGATTTGGTATGTTCAGCTTGAGCCAGTAGGTAATATTTAAATATATAAGGAACACTTATTTATTTTGAAAAATAGATGCCACAGTTTTAATGCATAGGAATAATCTTATAATGAATTATTAAGGGGGAAAAAAAAGATTCTAAACAAGCCATGTAAAGAATGATTGTCTCAGCTACAAAATCCTGCTGGGGTACACACTGCTAGCCAGAGGAAATGACTGATAAAATGAAGGCCTGGCAATCCCTGATCATCTCCTCATTGTTCTAATGAGGAATTCTGCTCTGGGAATGTCATCTAAGCTACTTTCACATCTTTTGTCCTACTTACTTCATCTTCCCTTCAGTTCTTAATTAGGCCTTAAAGAGCTCAAGCTGCCCTTTCAACTGGCTACTGCTCCCATTTAAACACTGCTTTCAGAGACAGGTGTTGGCATCAGAGGAGAAGACACACAAACATAATTACTAAATAATATGCACAAGGAAGAAATGTAATAACTTGGTGAGGGCTAATATTACAGAATCTAATAATAAATTACTTCAAACAACTTAGAAAGCAATCCTGAATATTTAAAAAGAAATTCAAATGGTTTCATTCAAAACTATGGTTCAGATAGAGTTTCTTCCCCACCTAATTTGTATTTTGCATTAAATGAGCACCACCTCATAATCCTATAACAGACATTTAGGATGGCTGGTATTCCAAAAGAAAAATCATCAAGGATTTCTTTTATCACCTTTAAATCCTTTAAATAAAACAATTCACATCTTATTTCTTAAAAGAACTAAACTGATGCTTTTACCAGCAATAAATTACATGATTTGCAGTAGTACATTTGCAAGCACATAGAAACTGTAATTATGGTTACTTTACAGACAATGGCTGCTAACTTAAATCAATTTTTTGATGTCTCTTTTTGTCAGAGATTAAGTGACTGCCTGGTAGAATTCAGTTTACTATCTGATCAAAGGCAGCCTTCAAATACTCTGACATCTCCCACCAGCTACTTACATTATAAAAACTTGGGCATTTACAATAACATCAAATGTTATTACAAATCATTTACATAAACCAGCAGAAAACAAACAGTACAAAGTCATATTTGCTTGTGAAACTTGTTTTCTATATATTTCAGAGATTGAAAACAAACCCACTTTTAAAGATGTCATCTATTCACAGAACAAATTCTAGTAAGACCACATTTTCCTTCAAACAAAGACACTGTCCAGGCAATCTGTGGATTATTTTTTGTCTTTTCTTAGTACACAATTTATTCTCAGTATTTTTAGAAACAAGAGCATTTTGAATTATACCTTCTAGTATTTCTAATTTTTAGTGTTTTCATCTGTTAATTTATTATGTGTATTATTAATCTTACCATATATAAGGTAATAATTTTAATTTTGATCTTCCTTCTAAAGACTGTCCTCAAGTTTCTGATTATAGTGATGGTAAGCTCCTGTCGGGTCAATTAATAAATAACTGCCTAATGCAAAGTTCCTCACCTGACCATTACTTCTCTAGAGTCATCTAAACCATTCCTAAATTCAGGTTTTGGGTTTTTTTTTTTGCTTTTTGTTCAAATAACTAAATATTTCCTTCTTCATCATATCACAGCTAAACTCCATACTGAGTGCAAAACTCTTCTTTATTTCCAAATTTACATTAAGCCTGTGCTTTTCTGCTTAGGTTTTCTGGATATGTCAAAAAAAAAGAAGAAAAAAGACAAACCCCAACATTTCCATATAAGAGGTTAAAAAAGAACAAAAGCTTATAAGCTTGTACAAGTACCAATTAGTTGGCATTTACTAATGGCTTTCCATGACATTTCATAACTCACCGTTTTTTTCCTGAGATCCTCAGAGCCAGAAGGATTCACATTAAAACTGTGGGGGAAAAACCATACCAAACAAATATTAGCAGGGCACACTTATTTGACCAAAACATCTGCTAGAATACAGTACTGAATAAAGTATTTAATATGGTTTATTTTCTTGATTTGTTAAACGTAGAAAAACAAACTATTAGAAATTAAAGGAAATTTGAATATATTCCTTGTTCACAATTCTTTGTATTTTTTTGTCAGCAAATTTGAATAACTAACTAAGAAATGCAAGGAAGACTATTATGGATTTGGCTTCCTTATCTTTCCTCTTATCTCTAGACTTAGCTTGAGCTTCTAAGCACAGAGTGCTACTTTAAATGAAATATCCTAGAAACAGGTTCCTGGGATGAGATTGACAAAAACCAACAAGCAAACCCTACAGACTAACACGTATTTCCAGCTTTCATGGCAGCTCCCAGAGGACAAAGTTCCTGCAGAAATTCCAGTGAGATCACCAGCTAAGGGCTGAAAAGCCATCTTCTGTCAGCTACACTTATTTTGTATTTAAAATTGAGTAAACAATCTATTATTTTATAAACTTAGTGATTATGTGCACATCCAGAAAGGAAAGCTCTTTCATAATGTTGTTGATACTGATAAAAACAGCCACTGTCTAAATATCAGGTTTAAGAAACTGTCCACACGGGCTGGTGTAATTATTAGCAAGTATCTTTAAAAATCAGTGATGCTGTGTTCTTATGTACTTGCCACAGCAGGTTTGGAGAGCAAACATTCTCCAAAAATGTGTTCAAAATCTGGATATGGCTCACAAATATTATTTACTTGGTAGCATCACAGCAGGCACATTCTTTCACAACACAGAATCTGTTTTGTTAGACTGCATGTACTGGCTTTGAGAGTGATACTCAAAGTGTGACTGAGAGATACAAAAAACATATATATATATTTATATGTATATATATATAGGGTTTTTTTTTAATTCTGAAGATTTTTTTGTATTAGGGAACATGTATTTTGATAGGGGTTTTTTTTAATTGTGAAGATTTTTTTGTATTAGGGAACATGTATTTTGTGACTGCTAACCACTCTGTTATCTGAATTTATAAACCACATATTCCATGGTGTAAAAGTGGAAGGGCAAAACATTTATGAACTAAAAAGATGTAAAATATATACATTTTATATATATATACATACATATATGTAAAGAGTTACGAACTACAAATACATAAAATATAAATGATAATATTTTTCTGTAAAGAATTTTTTTTTATTTTAAAATCTCTTTTTTTCACATTTTCTTTTTAGTCTGTACACGATCTTTAATTCCCAAAGCAGACAAACTTTTGCTCACACAGAAATCCTGTAAACCATCTGAGGGTACTTGACAGAGACTGGATTAGAGGAACAGTCCCAGGCAGACACCCAGAGGTGTCATTAAGTCTGGCTAATTCCCATTCCACCTGTGTGTAACAGTGATCCCCAGCAGCCTGCCCTGTTTCTGGAGACCCCTTTTGAATGAGGGCCCTTTTTCATGGGGCATTGTCTGCCCAGCCAGAGGCAGGGTCCCTCCCTCCCAGCTCCTTTCAGCCTCACTCCGACGTGTCAAACACATGATGAACTCGCTCCATTCATGGCTGCCTTCCCTGATCCCAGCACAAAAAAAATGAGTTAACTGAACTGGATCGAATTAGCCTGGTGAAAACCAAGAATGTCTCTATTTAACGAAGTGTGGCGTTAATTTGGGATATCTTTCTTTTGGGACTGTTTCCTCATGTTAGACAAGATATAGAATAATGCAGCCTGACTGCTCAACTGGGGGGCTTTCTGAAAGGTTAAAAAAGCAGGATCTTTCACTGCCTTGAATGACTTTATAGTTTCTGTGAAATAAGTTCCTGGACTCTTTTTCATAGTGGCAGCTTATAATGAAAGCAGCAGTTCTGACTATGAGAAGCTGCATTTCGAAATTAGAAGTATAAATCACTGGCAATATGGACTAGTTGTTTGGGGGTTTTTCTAAGCAGTAAAAAACCTGCAACAATTTCTGCAAAATTGTGGACATCTTAACTGCAATTTCAAAAGAGAACATCTGCGTATTTTGCAAGAAGAAATTTGAATACACTTGCAAAAAAAAAAAAAAAGGAAAGCTATTCAAATATTCCCCAATAAAAATCCAAATTATATGAGGGCTCTTACTCACACTTTAAGGAGATTTGTAGAAAATATAATGCTTTTTGAGGAAGAAACAGGTGCTGAGATTGCATATAATATAATTTTTCTAAATCAAAGTGTCTGCTCCTCAGCCTTGCTGAGCCCTGCAAGCTTTCCTGCCAGTGCCCCAGCCTGAGGTGAGTGTGAGCAGATGCAGACTCCCACCACTGCACCCCTAATTCACTGTCTGAGGGGCAGGAATCACCTCAAAAAAATATCCTATAAAATTATGAATGCAAACAATTGATGGAATTGTCTGGTTGGTGTATTGAAATTCACGAGAGCATTTATTTTTTAATTTGAATTTCATCACAATAATAGACCCCTAAAGTTACCACCTCACTCAATTACTGGCAATAATTACATAGAACAAGCCCCTAGGACTGCAGCCCATGCTGTACAAGCAGCACAAGCTTCCTCTGAGCAGCCCAAAAGCATTCTGAAATCATTGAACTGAACAATTATAAAAATAACATTGTTTTCTCCTGTGTTACACTCACAGTTCATAGTGATAGTATTAGTTATAATCCAGTCTCTGGGGATTTTCCCAGAGTTCAATAAACTGGCAGGGATCTCCTGCTATGGAAGAAGTTCCCATGTTCACAGCTTGGGAAAAAATGTATCTTTTTGGATTTTTGTAGGGGTTTTTTTGAGTGTGGCTTACTGTGAACAGTGATTGTGAAAAACTGGCACTGTGGGATTCTATAATTATTGTTTGTCAATTACACCCAAACTAAATTTGCTCAGTTTACAAATAAAAAAGATGTTTCTTTTCTAACAAATGGACTTTTCATGTGCCTTACGTGCCTCCAGGTGATATCTCATACTGATTTTTAACAGTTTGTCTCTTAGAAGTAATAAATTTTCATTCTCTCAGATCACCTCCAAGGAGCTACTAAAAGGGAGGTAAATCCTACCAGCAGATTAAAAATCAACTGCAGTAGGATCGTGGAAGTGACACTGAGCCCCCAACTTGCACATCACTCCCACCCCTCTCTTGCCAGAACAGATTTCTCCAATCCAGCACAATTAGTCCTGTCCCCCATTTCACTCATCTGGGAATTCAATTAGTGTCCTTGACAGTTACTTTATATAACAGACATTTTTACCAGATTAAATCATATCCATTATTTCATTGTTCCATGTTATTTTACAGCTTTGGATATAACCTTCTTTTTACATTTTTCTTGAATAGTAAAGGTTGTTTGAGTGTCTGGGGTTTTATTGGCTTAGATTTCAATTTTAACTCATCTGAGATGAGAACTCTTTTCTATTGTCCTGCTCCTGAAGTGATGAGAAATAACAATAATATAAACTAATAATGGACACAGATATAGTGCAGTGGTGATTCTAGTAGTAGTAGTAGTAGTGATTCTTGTAGTTTGGTTTGCTATTTCATAATCATAGCAAGCATATTATTTTATTGTTTAAAAACATTTCATTAGAACTAACTGAAACTTTTTTTTGATAATATCTTTTTTATGGTAATTAAATACTTCCATTGCATGTTGATAATTTACAGTTTGTATAGGAAGAATACAGTGGAGTTGAGTTCAGGATGTGTCACAAGCTCAATTTCATGACTGCATCTTACAACTTTGTCTATTGAAATTTAATGATAGTTAAAAATTCAAACATCAGGTCTAGTGGCTGCATAAATATTTAGCTTCTGAATGCCTAGAGCTTAAAACAATCTTTATCAAATCTTTCCTATAACCGATTTAAACATTTTAGTGCCATTTAGTCTGACAACATAATGAATGGGAATCAGACTCCTAAATTTGCTCCATGGAAAGAGTATTTTCTTAAGGACCAAAAGCTTTTTACTTCTCTTTTGCTATTACTATTAGTTACATGATAGTAGTGTATACTATTAGAAATTAAAATTAGGATATTTAAATTAATCATTACTATTCAAAGTATTAAAATTTATGTTAACCCAACATTCTGTAAAATATCTATTATACCAATGAGCTAAGTGTGAGCTTTCAGTTTCTTTCCTTTAATATGAAATGTCTGCACACAGGTAATTAGCAAAGCTCTGCCATATTAATTTTTCACTAGAGTTGAAACTTCTATTCCTATCCTGCTTCTTGGTATTTGGACCAATTCTGACTACAGTGCTGATGCATTTTTCTTTGGATTCTCACAACATATATCAAAATCTTGAAATATTAGGATGCCATTTAGGTTATTACTATTGCACAAGGAAAAAAAAAAAAGAAAAGAAAAACAAAACCAAAAGAAATGAATAAAATCAGATACAGCTAATGAATTTCAGAAACTTAGCTTTCCATAGAACGTCAGCCTGCTGTGCCTGGCAATGCAGAGCTCACTTTATATTCTGAGAAGAAATGACTGCCTTGTCTGGCAGCTAAACAAGTACAGAATAAGCATCTTACCATCTACTTTGCAATTAGATTCTGGGGAACATCACTTAAGACACTTCACTGTATAAATTGCTCTGCTGTCAAGCCTTGTTCTGTGGCCTTTTGGAGCTTGGGTAACCCCAGGAGGACACAAAAAGATCAGGTTTTGTGACTATCACTACCTTCCTTGACTAGTTAGAAATCTAAGTATATAAATATTTCTCCTTTTACTAGGAGCTGTGCTATAGCAAATAAGTTTTTTTCTCAAGAGACCACTAAAGAGTTGTTAAACTAAAACTTGTGCCAGGATCTCCACTAGAAGACCTTATTATTAGAGATCTCAAGTCAACAACAAAAAACCAAATCAAACAACCCTAAAATTACATTTTACACCGAAACTTACAGACCCATTTTTTAATTATTAAAAGAGTAGAACTAATTTTTAGTTCTTATAATGAAA